CAGGTCGAATGACCCTTGTGACGGACGGTGAAAAAACGTCACGTCACAGAGTATAAATCGGTTTAAATTTTTACAAAAAAGTATTGTATTATATTCCATAATTTTTATTTACAAAATGGTCGGGAGGGGAAAATCCGTGACTTACTCTAGCTTAAATGAACTACTATGTTACACTAACATATTATACAAATCCAACGGGAGAGAACAACAACTATTGACGAATCTACGTTTCAGCGAACTGGAGCGCATGATTTTACCTCGTTCCGTGTTACCACCTCGTGAAATGCGGTGCGTCGAATTGCTTTAAATGACAATTTTATGACGGCTTCCTCCTCATTATTTTCCTTTCTTTCTTTATTCAGTAATAACTTATGAATACTGTTAAAATTAATCAGCCGCGCATTTTGAAAATTTAACATGATACCTTTTATTTTACAAATTTCGTGTCAGCTCCCATCTGGAGTACGAACTACGTAGGCGTAAAATTTCGATCCGCCAGATACGAAAGCCTCGATGAAGCTACCATGGCCGTACCCCGTGAGTTCGTCCGTCATGTCTTTCAAAAAATTACCTGTACGCGGTTCGTATTCGTTGGGATCTCCGCTACTCGTATACATATATGCAAGAATCGATGTCGTAGTATAAAATGCGATGATCTAATTTTTCCAAATACTCGTATAACTTTAAATGCGCCTGAGCCGTCGTGAAAGCAGTTATAACTACGTTTGTTATCGGTGAGGGTATTACCGCCTCGTGTTTTATACGCCACGAAACATATATCACCTCGTCGTTGACGGGTAATATTCCGGTTACCTCGTGTTCCGGGCTTGACAGTAATTCCGCCAATCGCTGGGGATTTTTTATTATCTCGGTATTTGAAAGATTTGTCCGCTGGCCGAATTTTCCCCAAAACGAATTGAGGCAGAGTTTGGCGACCGAACGTAATCCAGGATTCCGCTTGATATTGTTTTTATCGAGAACGATATCTTCGATTGCTTCTTACTCCCGAAGGTATCGCTCTTTAGCAATATCGTCGTCCCCACACTCGCTCGGCCACCCACTCGCTCGGTCACCCACTCGCTCGGCCACCCACTCTCTCGGCCACCCACTCACCTCTTGCTTCAATTGTAAGAAGCTGTTAATATACTCGGTAAACAATCCTCCCTGACGTGTAACGGAATTATAGCGTGTATATTTGTACTGCCAGATTTCATCTACCCTCGTCACGAGATAACCCTTCTCAATTGCTTTACGCAATTCACATGATACCCACGTGCCTCAAATTTACGTTCCGCAGGGTCATCGTGAGTGCATGCAGATGGCGAAAATGTTTCACAGCAAGTGCAACAAAGCGCGAATAATAATTTTCCGTTCACACGATACGGTAATACAGGATGGAAAAGTTCGCGTGGAGGGAGTACAGAACATCTTATGAGACCCGTGATCTGTTCAAAATTGAAATTTGGTGCTTCTCCAATCAGTGCGGAATATTTTTCCCCTACGTAGACATCGGGATGTTTGATTGGATAAACACCGGTCTTCAATACGTACGGGTACAGAGAACATACGTCTATGTAACGTGTCTTCTCGTTACCCGTGATCTCGTATCGTGTCGCGATATTATCGATACGTCCGCCGATGATTGAGAGGAGGGATTCTATTTGAATCATAGGGTGATTCTCGAGAAATTCACGTGTCTCTCGATTCGTGCGCATTTCTTCATCGAAAACACACTCCCACTTTTCCGTCACGATATAACCTTGCTGACGTAATCGCCAGGTCGTTGCAATCGTTCGTTCGTATCGCGCATCGAGTGTATCTTTGGAATTTCCAATAGGTTTATCGCGGTTTATTCGGTAACAAGTCGGGCACCCGTGAAAGAAGCAACCGTGGAACTGCAAAACGTGACGTTGCGTCTCATCCTCATTCTCGTACTCGTAATACTCGTCGACGAGTATGTCTTCCGTTAACCGATATTCACTCCCGCGTCCCGCGTGAATAATACCACGTTCATTTTCCTTTAAAATTAACCATTGAACGGCTTTGCGTGATTGATTGTCTTTAAATCTGTATCCCCCCGACGGAATGATACCTATTTCTTCTTTACGCAAAAAGTTTTTCCGAAATACTCTCATACACGTCGAGGCAATGGTCGTGCATTCTATGAATGGACATACGTTTCCACGCTCTAAAAATATTTTTCTAAACGCCAGACATGCTCGCCGAAGGATATCGATGTCGGTATGACAATAATCGACTACTTTTCGTTGAAAATCGAATACGGTATTTTTTTTCGACATTTTAGCATGCCACGCAAAAAAACGTTCGCGTTCTTCCGTTTGCATCGTTTCGGATGCGTAATAACTAATGTCAGGCAGCGAACCAATGTACAATTGATTATCGCTAGTATTAAAAAGATGCGGAAAGATGCCTTTCTCGCAGTTTTCCGGTAACCCAAAGGCCTTCGGTAATTCCGCCAATCGCATCGGTATATAATTAATACTATCGATAAATTTTGTACGTCCTACCGTTAAAACTATAACTTTCCTACCGTTTAAAATCACGCGAGGTTCCAATCTACAGTGATTTTCGACTATATATTTGAGAATGAACTGTGCGTCGAAAGCTTTCGCGTTGTGCGCTATGCAGATGATTCGAGTAAAGTTTTTCGTGGGACGTATTACGAATTCGACAAATTCCTTTACCGGATCGTGACGAAAAACAAATTAGTACACTCCACATCAACGACAAAGTTGCGATAAATCATCTACTTCCACACACAAATCGCAAATTTGTTGAGCAATGCAGAGTGTTGGGACGTGAATTTTTATCTCGGTACCGTTAAGTGAATCGTCTTGTCGTGTCTCAAAATCATAGAACACGAATGCGGTCCGTCCCTTCGCACGTTCTTGCTCGCTCGCATTCGTGTTATTTTGTTCACTCTCTCTCTCTCACGATTACGGGCGAATCTCCATCATCGGATTCGTTAACGGAGGATCTACCTTCACGAGAAAAAGGTTGCATATAACACAAATGGTTTATAGGTGTGGTGAACTACAAATTTTACAAAAGGCAACACCACAATCGTGTTCTTTCGTTGATTTTATTACGCGTCCACAACCGTCGCAAAATTTAATCACGCTGCAAATACTCCGCAGCGTTTTCCCGTCGTAGGACTTTATCGCGTGATGATGTTCGAAACACGCATTCCCGAAGAACGAACGTTTGCATATTTCACACCTGACGATATTTACATCCTGCTGTTCACACGATGGCACATTGTTGCAACGTGGGCATGCATTTGAACAACGATGACCCCTCTCCTCGCGGTAACCGATATTACACGGAATGCAATATTCCCCCTACTCTCCGCGGCTGCTTTTAAATTTAAAATAGGCCTATAGTGACGTTCACCCTCGTAATACATAATATATAATCAATACGAGGGTTCACGTCCTAACGAGGTAAGCGCATCAGTCCTGTCGAATAAAGGCCTATATTCTTTACCGCGTCCGAAATTATTAAAATTGTAAACAATAATTGCGACGTTGGATGCTGTGAAAAAACGTTGGAAACATTCGATTTCCCGAATCCCACAACCCTCCGGTGGTATGGTAACACCGGCCCTTCGTGTTAAATCTTGCGCGAAATTACGTTGCAAGACCGAATTTTCGTGCCTTATCGCCTCCCACCGATGATGAAGTTCCCCTGCTCGTAAAGTACCACGCTCATGGTAAATTTGAGCGCATACAAGAGAGCGGGGAAAGCATAAATTATCGGAAATGGAGATTGATAAAATTGAACGTTTCCTAACGTCTTCTCGCGTAATTTTATTCGCGGCATATCCACGACCTCTCGATGCCGTGACATTGAAAACGCGTACGTTAAAATTCTGAGCGATATCGAGATCACCGTCGCTTTGTGCTACCGAACTCACAACACGTCAAATGTCTTCGTGAGTTAAGTCGCGCGCTGGACGAAACGATAATCCCGCAGGACCATCCGTTAAAGCCGAATCAAACGAAAATCCTATGTAATCGTCCGGTATGGAGGTATGTATCACATAAGCATGAATTTCGCGGAACGCGTTTTCAAGCCACTCGTGAATTTCGACACCCTGTGGTAACGGACACAAACGAAATGTCGCCTCTCTCCCTAACAGCGCAAAATTTCGAAATCGACGCGAATTTTCCCCGATTAAAAATAAATAATTAAAATCCCTGACCTCGTTTCCTTGATTATGCTGCGGGTCTTCCTCCTCCTTCTCCTCAGGTGCGCCTTCCTCCTCAGGGACGTCTTCTTCCTCCCTTGGGTTTTCCTCTCATGCTTCCTCTCGCTCTCTCAGTGCTGACACTTCCTTTTAAGCCAGGGAGACTCGTCCTCCTCCACCTTGTGGCTCCTCGTGAATGTTCACTTCTATACAGAAATACAAAAAATGTACGATAAATTATCATTTGATATATAGTATATATATATATATAATGTGACAAAATTTCTATGAATACACTATCCTCGTATTTAATTTAATAGATGTTTACGAGTGTAATATTTTCCGATAAGATTATTAACCTTTATCGGAACACCCTTCTGTGACGTCGTAAGGAAAGTCTTCCTACCGTTCGCGGAACAGGAGACGGAGGAATTCCTAATAACGAATTTCGTTGTATATAAATTAAATACGGGCATAAGAATTAAGAAATAATAAAAAAAAAGAAGGATTATATACCTGTAGGAGTTTCTCTTTGAACCTCCTCTTCTTCCTCTTCCATATGTCCTCCTTCTTCTCCCACTTGGGTTTCCTCCTCCTCCTCCTCCTCCTCCTGCTCTTCCACTCGTTCTTCCTCTTGCTCTGTAGCTTCGCGTTTTTCTTCTCCTTCCACGGTTTCCTCTTCCTCCTGCTCCTCCTCCTCCTGTTCTTCCTCTTGTTTTTCTCCCGGAAGAATGGGAGAATACATATGATCGTATTCTAGAAAAGCAATATCATAGTTTTTTATCTTGAATTATTTCCTTCAGTTAAAATATATGGGGCATTCTCCGCGTGTCGGAGTCCCTTTCTGCCCATTTCATTTTTTGACAGAATTCAACCAACCAGGGCTTAAAATTTTCGTTAGAGTGTCTACTTTTTATTGGCGTGTGGCGTTTTGTGAAAATTCAAAATGGCGGACTGGTGCAGCGCCGAGAATGAAAAAAGTATAAAAAATGAAGTATATATCTTTAAAAAAAATGCAGAAGTGACACTTCATTCGGATGATACTGTATACTGAGGAGTTTTTCGAGGTTGCTGTGTAATTTCTCGCAGATGTATAGTAAAGTATTCAGGATTGGCGTCTCCGTCGAACCATTCGATTCCATGATAATTTCGCGTAAGCCAGTTGTTTTCTCGTCTTACTGTCTCGGGTAAATCTCCGCGACTTCTTTTGGAATAAAGTTTTTTTCGACATCGCGAAAACCTTGTATGTCGATGACTATATCCATTATGATGTTCGAATTTTCGCTACTCTTTTTACGTCACGAAACGTCGGCACCGGTGTCATGAGTAAGACTGAAGCTTTTTCGTCATTTTGCGTACAAATAGATGAGAAAAAAATTTATAGGGGGCGAAAATAATTTTCTCGAGGAAGTCATAGTTAACCGGAAAAGTCGACAATGACTTGACGCGAGGAGTCGATTTCTAAAACGTTATCGAACTCGGCATAGACGATACAATTAATAGTCACGGAAAGAGCTTTTTCGAATCTCACTTCTATTCGCAAGCTTCCATGTTTCACGAGATTCCAATGTCCCGCACAATTAGCGGATAGATCCGGAGTAAGATCGAAAGCGAAAAGAGTGTAGCCGTTGGCGTAATCGTCTCTGCTTATAGAATTACCCTCGTTCAGAAAGTGAATACCGGTTCCCGAGAATAATGTGTGATAAGCTTCAACGTAGAGCGGATCGTCTTTCGAAAAATTTGGCTGTAATGGTCTACTGGGAATTTGCATGCCATCGGCGTACAGCGAAAAGAAATTTATTCTGTAATTTTTGAAATTAAACGGGTTCAATTTTCTATCGCCGTTAAACGCTTTGTTATCGACAAAGCCGACTATTATTCGTTTCGGCAACTGTCCGAGTATTGCATTGTCTATCGATTCCCCCACGACGCCGGCGTGTATTGTGAATGTTTTAACTTCGACTCTCGTAAGGGGGTACTTGGCGGTAGTTTTACTCAGCATTCTAGCGTGCGAGAGTAGCACACCCGGACTTATTTTTGCTCTTCTTACGAGTAAACTGGCATCGAGAATACGTATTTTTGATATCGTTCTACTCTCCATAAGGCAAAATGAATCTTTGGAGCGTATGAGTCTCATTCTAACTTCCACTCCGTTAATTAAAAATTTATCTTGATTAAAAACGTCGCAGTGAAGGTGGCCTATGAGATCCAGCGCACGATTTCCTTGAATGTATTTCGCACGTCTCTCGAGTGCCGTATTTGGATTTGACAAGTCTAACGTGTCGTCCATGTAGCCGGGAATATGTGCGTCCTATAAGCAAGAGGTTAGAAGAAGTTTTTGCGGGTGAAGCATAATTTAA